GAAAAGACGACTGTGTGCCCCCAGAGCAGTCAAGCCACGGAGAACGTCGGGGTCACAGAGAGCTGTGAGCCAGGGGAGAGTTCAACGGGAGAAGCTGGCCTCACTTCTTCGGAGACCGCCATGAAACCTGAATCCCAGGAGAAAAAGAAAGGTACACAAGGCACTCTTCATTTTTTTTTTTTTTCAGCAGACATAATGTTGTGTCTGGAATGTCAAGGAGCATGCTGAGAAGGCCAAGAGTATCTAATCATACTTAACTCTGTACGTTTCATAACAATCTGCCAAGTCAATGTGTGCTGAAAAGATCAAACACAAAGCAGGCAGTAAAATTAAACATTGAGAAAGGCCATAGATTTAAATCGGCATCTGGAATTACAGACAGACTCAATTCCTTGACAGTCATGTGAAGACAATTCCTCACCCTTTGTGCTGGGACTTGCTCTCTAGTCCCCTTAATGCAGCTGAAACTAGGGTGAGCTCTCGTGGCTCAGGTGAATCCGTGTGGCTCTGGTGTTGGAGAGCTTTCCGAGCAGCCTGGCTGCCAGATGCGTTTGCTGCCAGTTCATCTTCCTCGTTAGTTAGTAGTTTTGACAGACTTGCTGAAGATGATGCCTAAAAGTATGTCTTTCCTCCCAGCGGAAGCTGCTTTGCTGTTGGTTCAAGACGATGATTGAACCTTCTTCCCCCTCAGGTAAACGCAGCCAGCACCTGGGCCCTGCAGACATCTACCTGGATGACCTGACCAGCCTGAACCCGGAGGTGGCAGCCCTGTACTTCCCCAAGAGGTACGGCCCCCCACTGCTGCCTTCACTCCTCGCCTGTGGTCCTGTGGCCGAGGGGGCAGTTTGTGAGCAGACTCTGCATTTCCTGCAGAGACTCGAGGCCCGGACTCGGGACACGGCTCGACTCAAGTCCGGTTCTGCTTATTCTTGGAAATTTAAGGCCCTACTGTTTTGTAACATTTTTTTGGAGAATTTCATTTCTATGCTGGCTGGCTGGAGGTGGTCTTGAATATTATTTTTTAGGATAGGGATCGGTAAATCCCATTCCCAAGAGCAGCAGTGTCTTGGATTTCATTACACCTTGGATTGGAATTTCTTAATTGAGCTGGTAATTTGAATTAAAAATACGTAAATCATCTTAAGCACTTAAAGACCTTTAGGAGTCCATATTGTCCGAAAAGTAGTTTTTTTTCAGAAAAAAGGAACGAAAGTTACTTTTTTACAACCTTATTAATTACTTATTTACAACCACCCTCTATAATGTTACAATCCAAACGATGTTCCACTCTCAGATACTGACTACTGCCACGTATGAGGGGTGACCATTTCCTGTTTCTTGTTTCCTGTTTGCAGTGACAGTGAGATGGGCGTGCGGGGGGGGGCGGACCGAGGATCGCTGTCCGGTACCCAGTCGCCGCAGTCGGTGGGCAGCGGGGCTATGGACAGCGGCACCGAGTACCTGTCCGACTCCACGAGCGACATGCCTGAGGTCACCATGTCGCTCTGTGGCAGGGTGGTTGATACCAGCCTCATCAACAAAGGTAGCGTAGAGGCAGAGGCAGGGTCAGCTGTCATTGAAACAGCCAAGTGACAATGTGGTCAACCAGGAGATTTAAATTCACTTTCTTTTTATCACTTTAACAACTTGTTTGTGCAAATTAAGTAGCTAAGTACCTAGTTAGAATGAATACAGTCAAGGACAGGGGACCAACTCCAAGGAAGAATTTGCTTTGCTACATTCTGCATTGGAAGGGCCAGTGCAAGTCCAGCTTAATGTTGGAGCTCTTAAAAGCAGGAAGTATTACTGTGATGAGAAACCTCCACCTTACCTTACCTTTGGGTTTATAGAAAAGGATACTTATGCAGAAAATGCACACTCTTCAGGTTTTGTATAATCGCATCCGGTCTCGATCAGTTGGAACACCCACTGTGTATAACTGATATCCAGACTGGTTTAGTCAGCGGAGTTACAAATGATGACAGAGGGGTTTTTGCTTTGAATTGCTTTTGCCTTGGTTGTCAGACTGTTCAGCCTACAGTCTATAAGTATTGTTTTGCCTTAGAACAGTTTGGTTTTTACCAAAACCAAAACCTGGAGTGTGCATGAAGGATTCCTCTTTCTCACCAGGAGAATCAGTACAGAGTTTTGCAGCTGTTCTTCTGCCTGATGTGTTAATCACTTCGGTCGGGAGCATCCTAATAAAGCCCTAAAAATAAATGATTGCATGATTTTTGCCTTACCAAGATGATAATAATAATTGCTTACACTTATATAGCGCTTTTCTGGACACTCCACTCAAAGCGCTTTACAGGTAATGGGGATCCCCTCCACCACCACCAAATGTGCAGCCCCACCTGGATGATGCGAGGGCAGCCATAGTGCGCCAGAACGCTGATCACACATCAGCTATCATTGTGAGGAGAGCAGAGTAATGAAGCCAATTCATAGATGGGGATTATAAGGAGGCCATGATTGGTAAGGGCCAATGGGAAATTTGGCCAGGATGCTGGGGTTACACCCCTACTCTTTTCAAGAAGCGCCCTGGGATTTTAAATGACCACAGAGAGTCAGGACCTCAGTTTTACGTCTCATCTGAAGGACGGTGCCTGTTTACAGTATAGTGTCCCCGTCACTATACTGGGGCATTAGGACCCACATGGACCGCAGGGTGAGCGCCCCCTGCTGGCTCCACTAACACCTCTTCCAGCAGCAACCTTAGGTCTCGCATCCAGGTACTGAGCAGGCTCACACCTGCTTAGCTTCAGTGGGTTGGCAGTTGTGAGTTGCAGAGTGATATGGCTGCTGGCTAAGATGCATATTGAGTTCCCCATTGCACCTGTGCTAGTCTTTTCAGTCCTGGGATTAGACATTTGCACACTGTTTGTGATGATCAAACTGATCTGGCCTTCACTTCACCGGTCTCTCAGAAGTGGGCAAGTGTTTCTGATCTTTGATCATAATGAAACCTACATTCAAGGAATGAGACAAAGATACCGGTTTTTAAAAAGGTATTAATTAAAATAATGAATTGAAAAGAAGCGTTGTGTCCAGACTGAGTCACATTAGTGTTGTGCAAAAGTGCACAGAAGTTCTCGGCAACAGTGTCATGTTTGTTAGCTCTCTGAATTGGTTAAATTGTTTAATTTAAGTTTTCCTTTTCTTCTTTGTTTCAGAGAAATTTATGGAGCACCTGGTCAGCTTCCAGGACTTTGTACAGAACCCTGGAATCATTGAGGACCCCAATCTTGTCATCTGCATCAACTCGAAGTCAGTCTTTTGCAAGAATTATAAACAAAATAGTATATTCATTAAATTTATTTTGAATATCCAGACTTCGAGGCATTCTCTGTCACCTGCTCATATTTCTTGGTTTATCAGAATTAGATGATTTAGGCAAAACAAAAGTATTTAAGGGATTTTTTGTTTTTCAGGTTGGCAATTGTTGAGTAGTCCTCTGTGAAGTAGGTTTTGGTCTCAGTTGACAAATTCATTTTCAAAACAAGTTTTTTTTCTTTTCAGGTATTATAACTGGGCTGTTGCTGCACCAATGATTCTGTCAATGCAGGCTTTCCAGAAGACCCTGCCAAAGGTACTGTCGCTGCTTGAACCTAAAAAACAGACAAGGCATCATTTCTCCGAGAAACAAATGATGTCGAAAGCCCCGGGTTAAAACCAAAGTGTTTTTCTTCCGATGTCATCAAATCTATACATGGATTTACTAAAAATGTACTTTTGTATTATACTGTACTCCTCAGTCATATCAAATCGCATGGTTGCAAATACAAATTGCTCGACTGGAAAGCAAAAAAAACAGTTTCGACTTTGCTTTCCCAATACCATCTTCCAGGTCTTGTAGTTGTCCTGGGCAGTTTGTTGCTTTAGTATAAACAGAAGTTTGAAAACAATTCTGTCATGAGTGGGCTCTGCCTCACCATGCCCTGCACTGAGACTCTCACCCTCTCCCCCTGTGCAGAGTGCTGTGGACAAGCTAGTGAAGAACAAGATGCCAAAGAAGTCTGGAAGGTGGTGGTTTTCCTGGCGTCGGAGAGATCTGGACACTAAACAGGTACAGGACTGGGACCTCACTGCTCTTCACAGCTCGGGAATACCAGGCCTTCATGTCCAGCAATAATCGGCACAGGAAAAGAGTGCTTTAACAGGATGTTTCCCATCCTGTTGGATCATGTGTTGATATTAGTTGAGCTACCCATCCATCCATTGGGTGGAGCGATGGTACTGTGGCTAAGGATCTGTGCCTGTGGCTGGAAGGTTGCCGGTTCAAATCCCGCAGCCAGGCAGAGGAATCCTACTCCGTTGGGCCCCTAAGCAAGTCCCTTAAACCCAACTGCTCCAGGGGCGCCGTATAAATAGCTGACCCTGCGCTTTGACCCCAAGCGTCTCTCCCTGTCCGTGTGTCTCATGGAAAGCAAGTTGAGTATGTGAAAAAGAAAAATTCCTAATACAAGAAATTGTATATGGCCAATTAAGTGATCTTATCTTATCCCAATGCCAGTAGTTTCTGAGAGCATCTTTCAGAGGAGGATCTGAGGGATGGAGCCTGTAACTGAAGTAGTGCTGGACAGGCTGCTTTTCCTTGACAGCTGTCTTCAGACTGTCACTGGTGCAGTTGGCTGCTGGGCTCCATAGTAGTTGGTTCCCCTTAAAGATGAAGGTAATTAACACAACAAATGACAAAATCAGGCACAATTGCAGAGAGCGTGGGTACAGTACATTGTTCTGATGCTGGAGAGCAGCAGGCACTTGTCTTTTTATTCCAGGGAACTCGGAGTTACATATGTAACTAATGTCTTACTGAATTGAACCAGTTTATCCACAATGTCAAGGAAGTGGCCAGCTGAGAAGGAGACATCTCAACCTAGCTGAACATTGGTCATCAAGAAACATGGCTAACGAATTGAGCCCAGTAGTACAAGCAGACTGAAGAGAAGCAGCAGGAAAACGTGTAGGACATTTCAGTTCTGACTGCAGATCCTGTTTTTCAGCCCGAGTCGAAGGAAGGCAAGACCGGAGAGCAGATGGGGACGGCCACGGCTGATGGGGGCGTCTCCTCCTCTCAGTGAGCACTGCGCACTCTGTACTGCTGGAGGGGTCTCTGTGTCCCCAGTGTCTCCTCAGTCTGATCATGCTCTGAGCTCCGGGCCACGGGCCTAACCTTGATAAATTGTCTGCACTCTTTATCTCCGCAAATGCTGTTGGGATATTTTTAAAGTCAAAAAGTTTTTTTTTTTTAATCAGTGTTTCCTATTGTGGGCACATCTGAAAAATGTGAAAGCCAGCATAGGGTGTCTCCCCTCCCTCTCCTGACAGCTCTTATTCACTGTAGGATCTAGAGTTACTTCACAAAGCATTTTTTAGTACCATGTGCCAAATTATTTTTTTTTTGCAAGTCAAAAACATTCTCCTGACAGTGGGAGAGTGTTTTTGACCATCTAAGGTGGTTCGGTGTACAGCTGCAGATGTACACAAGACCCTCTATTCTGAATCGGCTGATTCCTGCCTTTTATTTGCAGACCAAGCCAGTGTCTAGTATACAGTGTCTTGTATACCACAAGGCCAGGAGTGTCTAGTCCTGGTCCTGGGGGGACCAGTGTGTCTGCAGGTATTCTAGAGCTCTTCAAAGCAGCTGCACCTAAAGAGCTGGGAGTAACTGAAATTCGTCTCTTTAAATGAGCTGATGCAGGTTGTTAATGCTGAGTTGAAATGGAAAGAGAACCTACAGACGCACCTGCTCTCCAAGACCAGGGCTGACTGTCCCCGTCTTGGGCAGCCATGTGGTTTCAGAGCTGGAGGAAGTCGTACGACTGCAGTTCTTGAGCCCGGACTGACCGGCTCTCGTCCCCGTTGTCTTAGGGCTAAGCAGGACGGCTCGTCCAGCGAGGACGACTTGGGATCAGCCAGGGAACTGCGGCCGGGACAGCCCATGAGCACATCACATTGCATCAGCCAGATGTACCGCAAGTCCCTGCGTCTCACCTCGGAGCAGATCGTAAGCCTCCTTACTCCGTCTAAAGTGCTGCAGTCACGCTGGGGGGCCTTGAACACCTTCTAGTTTCTTAACCGTCTTGGTTTGGATCTCTGCTTGTACTTGAGCAAGAGACAACATAGGAAGTGTTTCATTATTTTTATCGCTCATCGTGTCATGGTTTCATAAATTTCATGATCCACTCATTGGTGGAGTTTGGCAGTCAGGGGCCTGGGTGCAAATATTTCTATGGGCCCTTCCTCCTCCCCTGCCGCAACCTAGTGTGGTCATAGAGCCGACTCGCTCATCTGAAATTCATCCTCCGGACATCGCTCGCCCCAGAGTCTGCAATCCTTTTGGTATGATACAGTATGCTGCTTTACTTGTCCGGTTGCATTTTCCTTCTCCGTCAGCCGGATGAACGTCGCTGGACTCCAGTTCGCTGCCCGTGTGGCTGCTGGAGGTCGCTGGAGTGGCGATCGTGTGGCTTGTGCTCGCTCTGTTCAGTATAGCGTTTCGCTAGAATTAACAGTGGCTCCATGTCTAACTGCTGTTGGTTGTAGCCCTGAAGAGTCTCCATTTCAGTCCCTTTGGTTGCTCATGTATGTCTAGTCAATTACATAAATGTATTAAGTAAGCTTCAATTACATTTGTTGTCTGTACAACAAACCCCAGATCTAATCTTGGCCATAGACAAGTTCCTTTTATTTTGTTGGGATGCAAGGATTCAAGGCTCAGTCCAGTGAAGGTTTGAGATGAGTTTAGTTGTAAGGAAACTTCCAGAGAACACTGAAGGAGACATAGACAAGGTGTATTTTCCACAGTGCCCCAAATTGAAACAGTTTTACAGGGGTTTTTATAATTTTTCATCATGTTATCACCATGAATGGGGGTGAAAGAGTCCAAATTCTACTTATGGTCCAATGGCTATTCTTGATGATGTTGTCCCACCTTTCAGCTTTCACCTTTCTGTGGTGTCACATTCAACGGCAGGTGTCTGTTTAAAATTTCCTCAAGCAAGGTTTGGAGCAATGACCCCAGGCCAGAGTCAGATTGCTACAAGTTTTCCAGAAACTATGTGAATATCTAGTGATTCCCACGAGAGAGACAAACCTTCAATGTTAGTGAGGTTACAAGTGAATTGCAGTCAGTATCAGAGAATAAAAATTTCTTGTCACCACACACTCTGTCACCTCACTGTGTCATGCTGCCTTAGAGAGCCCATGTTTTGATGTGGGGGGCTGCAGTGAGGTCCCACTGACTCCTCCTCTAGCTCTGCCAATGTAACCACATGTAACCTGTGACTACTGATGGGTCATGGGAGTGTTGCTGTAATTCCACTTGTCGTCCTGCGCAGGCGCGCCTGAACCTGCGAGAGGGGGCGAACGAGATTGTGTTCAGCGTGACCACTCAGTACCAGGGCACCTGTCGGTGTGAGGCCGCCATCTACCTCTGGAACTGGGATGACAAAATCATCATCTCCGACATCGATGGCACCATCACCAAGTGAGTGAAAGTTCTTGGCTCTTGTTCTGTCGGGTCTCAATGAAAGATGCGTGGTAAGTAAAGTCAAGGATTTTTTCATGCTTTCAAAAGCTTGAAGGAAAATTTAAAGTAAAGAACAGCAGAACAATGTGCAGTAAAATCCTGGTACTTGCCATCACGAGTCTGTACCCCTGAGTATCTGAGTTTTATCTGCTGGGGCGGAGTGTTGGCACTGTGGCAAAGGATCTGCGCCTGTGGCTGGAAGGCTGCCGGTTCAAATCCCACGGCCGGCAGAGGAATCCAACTCCATTGGGGCCCCTGAGCAAGGCCCTTAACCCCAACTGCTCCAGGGGCGCCGTACAGGTGGCTGACACTGCGCTCTGACCCCAAGCTTCTCTCCCCATCTGTGTCCCAGCAAGCTAGGGTATGCGAAAAGACAAATTCCTAATGTCCAGAAATTGTATATGGCCAATAAAGTGATCTTCTCCCCATTACAGATCCGATGCCCTGGGCCACATCCTTCCTCAGCTGGGAAAAGACTGGACTCACCGAGGCGTTGCCAAGCTGTTCCACAAAATCCACCAGTGAGTGTCCAGGAATCTGCATCCACTGCACGGAGGCACGACTGACCTTATCAGTGTGCTGTGTTTTACTAGATCTGTTCAATCATTGATTTGCTCCTCAGCCGAAACCCGGGCTTCACTGTTGATCCAAAACTAATCCAAAGAATATGGTACTATAATGAGGTTTGCAGCTATATGCATTGCACCAACTTGTTATGCAGTCGAGGACAGCTCAGTGCTGTGATGCTGCGTGCTGTTGACTCAGAGCAAGCGGATACTGCTTCGGGTGTCTGTGTACAGTTTGCCTGTTATCCCCATGTTCACATGAGTTTCCTCTGATCTCCCAACGACACGCTGTAAGTTCTTCCTTTTCTCCATGACTGTGCGGTTGGTATCCCACTGTGGTCCTGCACTGTGCCTCCTGCTTCCGAGATCTGCTGTGGCTTGCTGTGATCCTCACCAGGACGAGCAGCTTTCTGAGAATAGATGGATGAAAAATTAGCAAGTAACCTTGTTTGAGATAAATACTCTGTGCCCAAACAGCCCATCAGCCCTGTGTACTAACAGAGCCTTGCATTTGTTTTCTGCCAAGGAATGGCTACAAGTTCCTGTACTGCTCAGCACGAGCTATTGGCATGGCTGACATCACCAAGGGCTACCTGCAGTGGGTGAACGACAGGGGTGCCGTCCTGCCCAAAGGCCCCGTGCTGCTGGCTCCAAGCAGCCTGTTCTCCGCCCTGCACAGGTGAGCTGCCCACACCTGCCCTCCTGGAGGGGCTGGCGCGGTGCTGACCGTCCTCGTCTGTCCTGAACCGAGATCTCTGCTTCAGGGCTGAAGAGGGAATCTGTGATCATGAATTCTTCAGAATATTAGTTGTATCTTCTTCTGGGCTTTAAGCATCTGATGAACAGATTTAACTGGCTGCTTTAAAAAGATATGCTTGCAGGTGATGTTTCTTTCATTTTCAGTTTTTCCTCCGAAGATCAGCGCAGATAAAACTTCATTTCTCTGCAGAGCCCAGGGCAACTTTTAGAAGAACATGTGGGCAAGAGGATCATGTTCAGAAAATGCATTTAATTCTTAAATCAAGTAAATACAGTCTAAGTAGGGAGATGTGTCAGCATGCGTAGGCCGCAAAGGAACAAGTACAGGTTTATTTCATGCTGAAAAGTGAAGAAAAACGCACCGTTTGAGCAGTGGAGCCTTCTTTGGGTGTTATTGTGTTTCTCTTCTCTTTTACATATTAAACACAGTCTAGTTCAACATCGTTGACTGCAGCTGTGATATTGAAGGGATGATTGAGGTTCAAATTCACCACGTCTGGCTCTCCGTTGTGACAGGGGCAGCAATTGAGAATACCGCGGCTTCCCCACAAACTACTGATCTCTTTTGCCTTATGTTCATGACAGGGAGGTGATAGAAAAGAAGCCAGAAGTCTTTAAAATCGCCTGTCTGACGGACATCAAGAACCTCTTCAGCCCACAGAAGCAGCCCTTCTATGCAGCCTTTGGCAACAGGCCCAATGTAAGCTGGATTTCTGGGCTGCTCAGGGGGTTCTCGGTCTGAGAGGAGCCTGTAGGGGGCGCCGTGTCACCGAGCAGAGATTGTGGGGTGCTGTTCTGTATTTCAGCTTCATTATCTGGCATCTTATACGTTTGAAATTCTCAGCTTGAGTTCCAACTTGGATTTTCAGTTATCATTGTGGGTGGAATTCACCCGGCTCTTCGCTCTGCATTTTCAATGGCTGGAAAAATGAACTGGCTGCTGTCCTTGTCTTTAGTGTTGCTGTGGTCATCATCTCGTCTGGTGTACTCTAAATAAACACTGTGCGAGTTCTTAGTTACCAATGGCTTTGAAATAATGTTATGTAGAGTGACATTTTGGTGATATCTAATACATTCTTAATGTTTACATATTGTTGTGAAGAAACAATCATTTTTTCTACTCAGCATTACTTGTCGTTGAATGTCAAAGCTGTTTTCCAAGATGTCTCTTGTGCTTGTTGAACATGCATTTAGCAGTCCTGCTTCATGCCTGTGAGGGAAGAGCTTAAAAGCAGCGCAGCTCTGTGTGCAGTTTGAAAGGATACAGTTGGAGTAAAGGTTTTGTTGAACCATCAGTGAGCATAGCACATAATGAATATGGTGTTTTAGTGAATTCATCATTTTAGGACACAAGAGATCCTCAACAGGTGACTGGATGGATATAGATCCTTGGCTCAATAAGCTACTAGCAAGCAAATGAGGGCTCCTGTCATCCAGTAGTGTTTTTACATCCTAAGTTTTCCACTTCTGCTCAGAACTGATTTTCTCATCTTTCCACTCAGGATGTTTACGCCTACAAGCAGGTAGGAGTTTCAGAGTCGAGGATCTTCACTGTCAATCCCAAGGGAGAGCTGATCCAAGAGCAAACCAAGGGCAACAAGTCATCGTAAGCATCTGGCTGTTCTCAGTCAGGCTCTCGGTATAATGACTTAAATCTGCAGCTGCATGTGTGATAAGTATCCCCACCTGTCCTTGTCATACCTAGACCGTGAGCTGTGTTTTAAAGTGTTTCTTTATGTTTATCTGTCACTTTGACTCCCAATGGATTATCCCACTAGGATGACCTAGCTAGGATATGAGGATGATAACTTTGTCCATGATATGCAAAGAAACCTACAGAGACTAATGTGCTACTAACTAATACTACTAATACTAATACTGCAGCACAAACCTCTTTTTCTATTCTATGCAAAAAACAGAGTTACTCCAGCAGAGAAACACACAATGAGTCACTAGTGGAGCTAGGCTAGGAGTATAACATTTATTTAACAAGCTGAGGGGTTCATGGTTTGATTAACCTGTGGTCTCTCTTTCTGCGTCTCAGGTACTCTCGTCTGAGTGAGCTCGTGGAGCATGTTTTCCCCGTGCTCATTAAGGGCAGGAGCTCATCCTTCGACTGCCCAGACTTCAGCCAGTTTTCCTACTGGAGAGAGCCTCTGCCAGCCCTCGACCTCCGCGACCTTCAGTAGTCTTCTGTCTGTGCCACCCCTCCTGTAGTCCTGTGCGGCCACGGGCTGTCCCCCCAGTCTCCGTTCCCCTGCTGCAGGTCTCCAGGGGTCACTGTCCTGAGGAATCTCAGTGAGGCCTCATAAGTTGTTGTTTTTTTCCCAGCATGCTGCTTGCAGCTCTTCTGTCCGCGACAGCCCAGAAAGCCCACAGAAAAACAGACAAAGGCTCTGAACTGGATCCAGGTCCTCAGAGAGGTGGAACTTTTTGGCCGCAACAGGGCAGATATGTCGGTTTGGCCCGAGAGCAATCTCCTGCCTCTCTCCTTCAGTCTGTACTGCCCAGCCCACCAGGGACAGTGGTGTGTTGACCTTCCTGTGTCTTATCTCCTGCAGTAGACAGGCAAGAGTTGTTTTTTTGCTGTTGACAATCCCAGGTTTTCAGGTTTGTTTTACAGATAGCACCTTTTTTTTACTGAAACTGAATTGTTTTGGGATGTATAAAAGGTTGTTGTTTCGTATCAGTAGCCTCTACAGAAGCAGAAAGTAGGTGCAAAAAATCCTTGGTATAATACTTTTATACCATCTGTCGGGATTATTTTTAAAGTGTATTAAGTGATTCCCCCCCCTCATAGTTCACAAAACTGTCTTTGAGTCAGTACACGAGTGTAGTCCCAGTCTTTGTTCTACGTTCTGCTCAAACGAAGAATAATTGATGAATGAGATTCCAGTCTCATGAATTGAAATGAATGAGTGAAACTTTTTCTTGGAAATGCTATAAAATAATATAAATGCTATAAAACATCTTGCTAAAAATCTAAAGAAAATGGCTACACAAAGAAACTGGGCCAAACAGAACAACTGGTCTGAGCCTTTCTTCCCCAATACTGGCACAGAACATAAATGGATGTACGCTCTCTGGCGCTGCTACAATAAACTACTATTCCTGAGAAATAAATACGCACAATGTTCCATAATTGCTGCCCTTTTGTTCAGTTGAAAGTATGTTGATGTCTAATCCTGAAGCAGACTTGTTGCACAGGTCTGAAGATAACAATTTGGTTTGAGGTAAACCGAGACGGAAAGTTTCGTGGATCGACTCTGAAGTCTGGTTTCTTTATGAAAGGTGAATCGTTTTTCCTGCGCAACTGCCATGCTACCTGCTACACTCGTAGAGTACGTCCGCAGGGTCCAGCAAGTGGATTCAATGTGCAGAATTGACGAGATAAAATGACTAAATTTGGTTAAATTGGCAGCAAAGACTGGAGCTGTAGTGAAAACATCTCTTGTCTGAAGACCTTCACCTGTGCCGTTTTGTAAAGCCAAAGCATAAGCTTGACTAAACTGCAGGGATCGAAGTGGAGATGTGAGGCTGTCGATAAAAGTACCTAGTGATGCCGACACTGGTGTGCGCATCAAACCAGCCCCCAAATCCACATCGGATACTCTCAGGGACACATCCCAGGGAGCCGGAGCAAGAGCCAGCTCTGTGCGGGACTGCTGTGTTTCCAGCCTGCTTTACTGTACGAGCTCAAGACCATGAGTTCATGAGACTATCGGAATAAAGGGCTTTATTTCAAACGCAGCTGTATTGCATTGGTGTGTAAAGCGGAGGACTCTTCTTCTTGTGTGAGACGATGTCAGAAGAGTTTGCAAAACAAGGAAAGCCTTTCAAACGTGTTCCCATCCCGAGATTGTCATTTTAAGAACTATCGAAATTGCGTGCAGTGGGTTTCAGCAAGTGTGATCTCTCCCTGTTGTGTTGTGGGGGGCTGCCTTCCTCCTTAGAGGAGAAATACTGAAAGTGGAAATATCTGATGCACTGGGAAGCTGAATCCAGGATTTCTCTGGCAAGAAAAGACACAAGTATTGACCCCCTTTACACTTTGAGAACAAGGAAGAGTTCATTGACCAATAACTGTAGTTCAACAAACATGATCGTGGACTGAGTGGATTCCACTATTTGTGCAGCCACTGCTGTTGTCAGGCTGACTTCTTTGTTGTCATTCAGACGGGAAGGACTGTCCAGGTACTGAACATTTCTTTTTCTTGTAACTGCGGAAAATGTAGATTCAAGAGTGATTTCTTTGCGCAGGGTTGCACATTTAAGTCTATGAATACAATTTTGACACTAACAGAGAAAAGTTGTTCAGTCCGGTGAACTGGCTCTGGGTAAACGGTTTTCAATGTTTACTAAAATTTCATATGCAAAAAAAAGGAAATATTCTGTTATACTGTATTCTTTAGCTTGTGCTAGATGTTCTGTTTTTGATTACTGAATCTCCTTTTTATTTATTTGTTCTTCTTTCTGATACTTTTCACAGTTTATATATATTCATTTTCTAAGTTCTTGAGTAATAAACTTTAATTAAAGAAAGACAGCATTGTTTTCTTTTTACCACACATTCAGTATAAAATCCTCCTGGCTACAGTTAGACAGACCTCTTGATTTCTGGGTTGTAGAAATGAACAGTAGTTGAACATGCATGCAGGGCCTGTCTGTAAGAAACTGAAGGCAAAATAGCATGTCCCAGTGTAGCATCACCTTTGTCTTTACCTTCCTAATCTGATGATGTTATAACTTAATTCAGCCCTTATCCCCGGAGGTGCCTAATTTTGGTATAGTTCAAAAATAATGGTGCGAGTGTGTGAATGCTTGTGTCTGTGTGTGCCCAGTGATAGATGTCCTGTCCAGAGTGTATCCCGTTTCTTGCCAAGATGGGCTTCAGCTCCCCCAAAGTATTAAGGTAAAGCAGACAGAAAATGGATGGAAGGACAGGCACCCATAATGCAAATACTGTAAAAAGTTTATTCCATGGCATTGTAAACAAAATTTACATTATATTCTGGTTCAATGTGTATTCACATTTCAATTTTACAAAGTTTTTTTTTTTAAATAAGCCATAATGTGTGGAGGTAGATGGGGCGAACTGTTTATCTACTGGCCTAGAGGCGTTATCATGAAGCCAGAAAAATCCTTTTTTTCTATTTCACACTTACCGAGAGGCTTGAGTTAAGTTCTATAGTCTCGTTCGCAACCAGTTCCCTTCACGAAAATCCATCATATTAATACCCAGGTCCTGACCTCACCTTCTGTTTCTCCTCGTTTCTGTTGGCTGAACATCTGCTGCTATTACACCTCAACGGTGCCTGTCTGAGTGCAGTTGAGCTCCATGGGTCAGATGTTATGGGCTCAAGCCTGGGTTGTGTCAGTGATCACCTGGATTCACCAAACAGCAGCACACACCTGGCTGAGCACCGCCAAGGTGAGATGGAGGATGGGAATTGTTGCTCTCTTGACAGCACAGTGCCCCTTGTGGCCTGAAAGGTTGATGTCAGTACATAGGATTATGCATGGAGCTGTTAAAAATTGAGCTTCTGATTTGCCAATATTGTTGTTCTGTTTTTGGTAGTAAATATGGTGGTACATATTCTGAGTGTCTTAGGGTTGTTTTGAATATTGTGTTATTTTGCAAAGTAAAATTGAGTTTGGGGATGTGTGTCGATTGCTTTTGACATTGTCAGGAATTGAGTTTGAGCAAATGAGGAAAAAATGTAATGGTGTTCTTCTACTAGACTTAAAGTGCAGCTTTTGAGCTTGTGAATCATGGCATTCCTGCTGGATTGCATGGACAATGCGCTCCGGATCACGGCAGGGACATCCTTTTACTTGACTGGCTCCCATCCGATTGCCAGGATCCACTTTGGAAATCTTGGCTGTTTTAAATCGAGGTTGCCCTGCTTACAGAAGGTGTTTCACAGGGTTGTGTGATGGGACTTAAAGGGTTTTTTTTTCCTGTTGGTGAAATTATTCAGTGTCATGGACTTGGTGTCATTGCTATGCGGATGACAATAAGGTTGATTACTTGATATAAGAGTGAGAGTGATGTATCACCGCTATAGTTTCTGCCCACACAGGTGTCTGATGTTAAAATGTTTTCATAAAGAACACTGAGCTTGCGATAGTTACCTGTGGGATATTATGTTATGGCTTTATTCCTTGACTGCACCTGTGAAATGCCATCTGCCAGCTGTCTGACGAGTCTTGAATTACACCTGGCTTTGTCGAGAGAATTTCACAAGCTGCCTTTGAAAAACACCTGTTTCTTTAAGATTAAAACGGTTAGACTGCCATCAAGCCCTGAAGATGTATTCCAAGTTCTTAAACCGGAAGCACATCTGAGTTTTCTAATACTGTTTCCTACAGCGCTTTATCCTTCCTCAGCCTGAAGTATGTTCAGTTTATTCCTTGGTTGAGCACCTGACTGAAATAATCATTTAACACGACAAATAGGACAAACCCCTCATCGAAGCCCAATGGAGTTATGTGCAGAAAAAAACATTGAGCAGGGCTGAATTAGGGCAATACCCATTGCTAAGCAATATACATTAGAGAACAGTACAACACTGGTTCCACATAAAAAACAGATTGACCACGGAGGGCACTGTGAGTCCAGAGAAGAGCCTCAGGTCAGTGCAACCCAAAAAATGAAAATCAAGCAAATCGCAGCACAATCACACAACTTCCTTACCCATTGGGACACTAAAGGACCCTAAAAAGATCATTCACACCAGCTATCTGACCAAGGTAAGAGACAGCAAGGAACATACAGACCTTGCAACACAGCTAGATCTGGCTGCCCAGAAAGGAGAGGCTCAGTAACCGCAGCCTGGCCAGAGCCACTGGGAGACAGGCTGGTCTGACTGCCCAGAGAGGACTGTGCTCTTACGGCCAGCAGGGAGAAACGAAGACATACTGCTTCTGCTGTACCACAGGAAATACTCATGGATTAGGCAAACGTTCTGAAACTAAGAAATCCAATTCCAGGATTCCTACTCCCGGCAGAACCTGAACAGTTTCCAATTCTACAGGGGGAGTGTATGTGATCTGTCACAGTCTAAGGAACAGGCAGTATTGTCTCATAATGTTTTGTTGATAATTTTGCTTCTACCCCACTTGAGCCAAATAGAGGGGTCTGTATTGTACAGGGGATGTTTGGGTCTAACCTTTGATTTAATCTAGTCCTACGTCAGGTGGTACCACTGGCAGAGTTTATTGTAACTCAGTGCATCTTGCAAATGTTTAGATTTAAATCCGTATAGAGGATATACTATTAAGACGCATTTCTTATACGAGTGTATGGCCAGATACTAGCCTGTCTGGTTCCAGCAGATGGAAAGAGATCAGATGTGCTCTGATGGGGGGTTTGTGGAAAGTGACACTGCAGAATCTGTTCTCGTTAACCACCTCGAGCCTCTTGCCCTCCTAAGCCGAATGGTCTTTCTTGTACTTTAAAAGCTGCCTAAGTGAAATAAAACATCAAGCTTACTGAAAAGGATATAGAGAAACCAATGAGGTTACCAGACAGACCCAGCTGTACTGAAAATAATTTCAGACAGCAGTGTGAAATAGGAGTGGTAGTAAAATGCAGATTACCTGGAAATAGGATAAAAGCCACCTGTGGACTACAATCATGTGTGCACTGTTCCTCTCAGCTAGCTCTCCCCTCCCTGTGACATGCCCCGACCCCATTCCTCCTCCCACCCACTTTCTCAAGCGCGCACACACAGGACGCAGCCCGACGTCTCTCTCCCAACCAGAGCGGCTCGCTCTGCCTGCAGCTCTGCACCGAGCCCATGGGCCTGCCCTGAGGTCACAGCCTGTCCTGCATCGAGGAGAGTGAGGAGAGCACAGCAGCCCAGAGTGCCGGAGCGAATACCGAGGGAGGGCAGAGCCAGCGGGGGCTCTGTGGTCACTGCCTTGGGAAGACCTGCCTGAAGTGTGAAATACCTGTGTGCTCCCTGCAGCTACAGTCCTTCCAAGCCCCCCCCCGTGCAGGCCATGTCAGAACAGCAGTCGTGCCAGGAGCAAGCCGCTCAGAGCCAGAGCAGGGAGGAACCAGGCCCATGTGACCTGCGATTCAGGCTGCAGCTCAGAGGAGCTCCTGCAGAAGGGAGCAGCAGCCCAAGCTGCCACTGCTGCATGGAAACAGAGGGCTATGGAGCTGTTAGACCACATGGCAGAGCTGGTGAACAGCTACAGAGCTGGGGGGGGGGGTCAGTTAAAACATGTCATGCCTAACAATGTTCCCATGTGGCAACTCAGTTGTCTTTATCACACACACAATCCTTTCTGTTGAATGCAACTCCCCAACAAAGACCAGCCATTGACAAGTGACCCCCAGTTCAATCCCAAAACCTGTAATCCTACCATGGGTTTAAAGGGAAATCTAAAATCTCAAATCCAAAGAACCCCCTCACAGGATGAATTTCTAAAAAGGTGTGCTAGGATAGCCCAACCCAATACAAGCCACATGCCAAACAACCTGCACTCCACATATCCACCGACACACAACAGAATGACACAGCCGAACGCGAAGTTCCCAGAGGGAATTTGCGGTAATTTTTATTGACATTGCTTTACAGCTGACAGTGATCGCCCATGGCTTTAGAGACCCACACCACCGCAGTGTGGTGGACGCTGCAGGCAGCCCATTGTATAGCACCAGGTCTGGGCTGCCCCTCTGCTGCACAGCCACATTACAGCAGCCTCCTGCTCAGACAGGAACCGACGCCCTGGCTTCGGCTGCGTTTTCAGCTGCACACGCCATCAATGTCCCAGCTGCCTATTTTGGAAGAGGTAGACATGGCGAAGTCCCTTGTTCACTGTGTCCTACAGCAGAGGTCTCCCTTTTCCATTTTGCCTGATCACTTCAATCGGGTTTCAGGAGAATTAATGATTTAGAAATTGTGACAAGCTGTGATCAACTAAGGATTACAAACTTAATCAGAAAGGCTATAAAATATAAAATGGAACAGGCACTTTGAAAGAAAACTAAAAGCAAAGCAGCCTGATAAACCAAAGAGTTTTGAGACCTTTTTAAATGCGGTTTTGATGGTTATTTTTCAATAAATAAGTAAAGGGATGGAGAATAAAAAGTAACTGTTAATAAGCACATGAATATTCCTTTCTTTTAGGCCACAATGACACATTTCTTAAATCCGTTACTGATCTAATGCTTCACCCTTTACAGAACTAACATATTTACAACCAACATGTTCAGCTTGGCTGCAGGCATCGAGAATCAGTAAGATCAGTATCGGGGAAACCAACAGTTTTCTAGTTTGGGAGTTGAACACATGGGTTTTACTCAGGCGCCCTCAGGAGAGGAGAGTACCAGCTCTATGGAAGAAGACCAGTGAGACGAGTACAGGGC